GACTTCTATGGTCAAGCTGGCCTCCTGGTGGGGTAAATATCCAGGTATCAATATTTGTAAAAACATCTCCAAGTAAATTTCTACCTATTGCCATTAAAGACCCAAAACTAGCCAGGCATGATGGTGCCTGCCTGTTAACCCAGCACTCGAGAGGCTGAGGCAAGAGGATTGCCATGAGTTTGAGGCCAGCCTGGGCTACACAGTGAGTTTGAGGCCGACTTGGACTACATGGCAAGACACTGTTTCAAAAAGAACAAAACAAGACCAAAAAAAGACACAAAACTAAGTTTCAGGTCATAGGCTTAGTGGTTTAACATTAGATTTCCAAAATAATTGCAAAGAGGACTAAAGATGTGGCCCTAATGAAGTTGTCTAGCATCCTGGAACTTTTCTAATTTTTGTTTTTTTCTGGACAGAATCTTGCTATGTAGTCCAGGCTGGCCTGCCTCTCTAGTATTGGGATTGTGGATATGGGATTGTGGGTATGCCTTGTCCCAGTGCAGGGTATGTGGGTATGGAATTGTGGGATTGTGGGATTGTGGGACTGTGAGTATGACCAAGCCTGGCCATATACTGGAATTTTTAAAAATCCTGTTTTCAGGATTCTGTTAGTAGGGTCTAGTTCTGGCATTGCCTTGAACTTTGTTTTGATGCAGGCTGTGCTCAGTGGGTTGGTGCCTTTGCCTGTGTGTATATAGAGTGAATGTTTGGTACATTCCTAATACCAAATAGTACAGATAGTTCAAGTCTGGAAGGAAGAAGGGATAGCTTGTCTTTGCTATCTGTAGTTCAGAAAGGAGGCTTCAAAGAAGAGGTATACTTTACCCACCTCCTTCTAGGTCAAGTTGTGTTTATGCAGACAAAGCAGATCTATGGGGAAGTTGTCAAGAACATCTGTTTTAGTCACTTTCTCATTGCTAAGAGAGAATCCCTAAAACCCACATCTTTTTTTTTAAAAAAAAAAAGGTTAGAAAAATTACTTTATGAAGCCTTAAGAATGATTGAACTGTAATCCAATTTTAGATAAATTTAATAGTTCAATTCTAAAATAAAAGTTGTTATAGATGAAATAACTAAATTTCATAACACTTGATTTTTGATACATTGTGCTAGTTTTCTAAAACAACTCTGAGGAACCAGTATTTACAAATGAGTATTTATGAAAAACCTGCCATCAATGTGTATCTGTTTATGTGTGTGTGTGTGTATGTGTGTGTGTGTGTGTGTGTGTGTGTGTGTATGTATATATGGAACCCAAGATGCATAAAGTAGGAAACACTTGGTATGTCATATCTTAAAAGCAGAACTAGAGTGCAGAGTATGAGATTTGGGTTTATAAATGCTTTTTAAAGCATGGGGTCTGGAAAAAAGCAGACATCTTGCTTCAAAACCTGAAGGTAACCCACATTTTAAAGGAGGAGAGGCTTATTCTGTCTCACGGTTTAGTCTACAGTCAGCTGGCACCAAGGCAAAATTTCATGGCAGAGGAGCATAGTGGAGGAAAGCTGCTCATGTCGTGGTGGCCAAGAAGAAGCAAGAAAAAACAGAAGTAGGGGAAGGAGACAAATCCTTCTGGGTTGCCCTTCCCCCAGTGGCTAGCCTGTTGTGACCAGATCCCACCCTCTAACAGGACATTTAGCTATGGACTCATCCGTGAATTAATCCATTGATAGGTACAGTGCCCCCACACATTCCAAAGGCCCTGCCTCTGAATGCACAAGTTTTGGGGGACATTGTAGATCTAAACCCTAACAACAACCAATGTCTGGCACTGTGTGTTGGGGTCTCCTCAGTGGGAGACTGGAACCTGAAGACAGTATCCGATGAAACTTATAAAATGAAGGGCACGGGGGACCAGAACTCTTGGAGATAAGGCAAGGTTTATTGGTAATATTCTTCTTTTATACATTTTTCTGTAGGATACATCAATCATTAACAGTTTACAATGCTAGTCAACTAACCACCGGTTATATCTGTGGGTACATAAAGCATCTAAAGAACCATCTATGCTCCTTTAATCTTAGCGCATCTTATCTAAATCATCCTGGCTGCTTAAAGCTTCTAAAAAGTTAGCTATTTTTATCTAGTCTTATATCAAGCAAATATTTGGGAGTCTCAAGGGACCACAGCAGGAAGAACACTGTGGGATTGACAAACAGCCTTCTGAAGTTATCTTTAACTTCTCTATCTGGGCCTGCCACAGACATCAGGACAATCTGTCTTCCCAATGCTGTCTGAGGGCCTGAGAACTTCTAATATCCTCCACAACAGTGTATTTGAGAGACAGAGAAAAGAGCACCTAACCATATTGGCCTCATACACTGGGCCACATCACACTCTGGGTGCATGGGATAAAGCCATGGAATAGCAGAAGGGTCTTCAGTGACAAGGTGATAATGTGATTTATCTTGTGTATTTTTTAATGGGATAAAGAACAGACAAAATTTATTATGTGCCTAAGGCACGGGAGTATTAGGCTTCTATCTTGTGTAATTTTGAGCAAAAGAAAAAAGAAGAGAGAAGTCTGAATAAGAGTAAGGACCTCAGGGAAAAACATTGAACATCCTCTCAATCAAAACATTTAAACTTGTCTTCTGATCTCTTCCCTGCAAACCCTTATGTTAATGTAATTTTTAGAAGAACCTTACTCTTATCATACAAATTTGGATCTACTTTAATTTAAATGATGTTATCCAACACAGATTTCTCCCATGAAAAAAATCACTTGCAAGTTGGTAAGTCTCCAAGGCAAGGATCTGGTCTCTGGCTCCAGCCTCAAATTTTAGGTTCATTCTCCAGGCCTCCTCCAATAAAATCTACCCAACTTGTGTCCACCTAAGGCCCCTGGGCCTGCCAGCTGCCTAGTTAGCTTGTCTCATGTTTTTCCAACATGATGAAGTTAATCAAGAGTTGAACACTGGTAATGCAAAGTAGTCACACAATTATGTGAAGAGGCAATCTAAAGAAAAGATGTTCCACCTCACTAGTAACTGAAAGAATGCAAGGGTTGTATAATATTTTCAATTACCAAATGAACAAAGGTGAAAATAGCAAAATGCTGGAGTTTAAGAGACTTTAGGGAAATGTGAGGGCTTGTACGCACTAGTGGGGGTGAACATCAACACAAACTTTTGAGAGGGCAGTTTGGCAATGTATGTCAACAATATAAAACTACAGAAAATCTACTTCTGAGAATTTATTCTAAGGAAATTATTGAGCAGAGCCAAGGATGTCTAAGCCAGCCTTGTTTATAGTGAAGAATAATTAGAAATAACCTAAATGTCTACCAACTGAGGACTGTTCATATCAATTATAGTACATTCATATGGTGGAAATCTAAAAAGATTTGAAAATGATATCAACATTTATAGACACGGAAGAATGTCCATTAGGTATTATGTCCTTGGACCCTGTGCTGACATTGATGTAAAGTTAATGCATATACACACATATGTACTTACATACATGTGGACTTCTGGAATGGCAGTTGTATTTTTTTTTTTAATTTTTATTTTTTTGGTACCAGGGATCAAACTCGGGACCTTGTGCCTGCAAGGCAGGCGGTGGAACCACTGAGCTAAATCTTAAATATCTGTCTTTTGATGCTTGGTTTGTTGCAAATATTTTTCCTAGAACATTACTTTTCTTTGAACATGGTAATGTCTTATTTTTATATCAAAGTTTTTATTTGTTTTATTTTTTATGTAATCAAACCTGTCAATTTTTCCCCTTATGGTTTTATATTTTGTTTAGAATGTCTTTCTCCACAGTATTCTCCAAGAATAATACTCTCCTACATTCTCTTCTAGTACATTTACATTTTTGATTATAGGTTTGTTTTTATGTTAAGACTTTAATTCACAAAGAACTTAATGTTGTATTTGGTGAAAAGCAGGGATTTAAAACTCTTTAAATTTTTAGGAGTATAATATTTTAATCAATACCTTCGGCAGAACTCGAGTTCCCATGGATGCCCAGGACTGTTTCTGGACTGTTCTGTTGGTCTCTTTGCCTGTATCTGATCTGGAATCACGTTGCTTTATTTACTTGAACATTTCAGCAGTAAGTTTTTCTATCTGCTAAGACATATGCTATCCCTGTTTCTCTTCTTTTTTAAACTTTCTCTAACCTTCTTCAGACATTTACTTTTTCAGAGGGACTTCAGAATTAGATAATCATGGCCCTAAAATACTCCCTTGAGATTTCTTTTGGGATGAGTAGAGGGTACTCGCTAATTTGAGGTTAGCATCTTACAAAGTGGGGCTGGGGGTCTGCAGCCCGGACTCTTGCTCCCCTGGCAGCTCCCCAGGCTGTGCCAAGCTGCCCTGGGACAGGGAGGGTGCTGCTTCTGCTTTCTGTCCAAGGCCTTCCTGCTCGACCATCCCTACCTCACCTGTTATTCCCAGGCTTCTTGCAAAGACAAATTCCTGCACATCCCTGGCTTAAGTTCTTTCTGTCTTCTAGTCACATTTGGATTTGAACCTGAACTTTCAGAGCCAAAATCCAGAGCGAAGAGGATGGAAACTGCGACCCTGCAGCTGAACCCAGGGGAGACACTTTTTGTTGGAGAACACATTCCCTGCTCCCAGCAAACCACATCGAACCCTCACTGTGACCAGCCTGGGACCACCAGGTTCCAGCTGAGACTTAAAAAAAACCTTTACTGTTTGAATCAAATTGTCTCATTTTAAGAGTACAATGATTTTTTTTTTTACAGATCTGTGCAACCATTGCCATGTTTCAATTTTAAAACACTTCCATCACTCCAAAAAGATGATCATGGTCATTCTCTAGATGCCATGTCCCTAGTATGGGCACTTGTCCTTAGTATGACAGCATCAGGAGGTGGGGACAGTGAGGGCACTGCTCGTGCACCTAGGGCCCATAACCCTGATGATATGAGCCCCCAGATCTAAACTCTCCTTGGGAGACCCAGGGAAGACCTGTTCCTCAGGGCATTGGGCATTGGCCATACTGAGCCCCATCCTTATCCCTTCCAGGTGGATAAAGTTTGAAGAAAAGGTAGAGGAAGGAGGCGAACGCTGGAGCAAGCCCCATGTGTCCACACTGTCCCTGCACAGCCTCTTTGAGCTCCGTACCTGCCTGCAGACGGGGACAGTGCTGCTAGATCTGGACCGTGGCTCCTTACCACAGATCATAGGTGAGGCAGGGCCACCTCTGGTATCTCTCTTGTCTCTACAAACCAGAGCAGCTCCCCTTGCTACATACCCACCTGCAAGTTTGTGTGACTGGCCTGTCCTTGACATCCACTTGATTCTGCAGAGGCCAGGGCGCTGATGCTTTCCGGGCCACACCCCAGCCACTTCAAGTTTCAGCACCACCTATAGCTCCCATGGTGAGGAAAAAATTGTCCTCTGAAATGGTTTCCAGCAATGCAGCAGAATGGGACAAAGGCCTCCTAGTGTGGTCAGAGATACATATTCCCATGACAACCTATTTCTTTTTAGGATAAAATAGATCATTAGGAAATTAACTTCCACATAGAGGAGTGTCAGAGGGAGGAGGTGGCTTACCTTATTGTCCCCAAGAATTTCTACGAGTTTCATTCTAGCACATTTGATCTTGCCAGGAGTATTTTACCCAAAACACCTTCCTAAAAATAATTCATTTTAGTACTAAAACCATGTAACACAGTTCTTTTGTTCTTCCTGGGGCACTCATATGTACTATTTCATTAACTCTTCACAACATTGATAGAAAGAGCAGAAACTTCCGTACATAGCTGTATATACACACAGTTTCGCACATGCCCTGTACATGAGAGAGGGAAGGTCTGTGATGTGCCCAGGTTTCTACCATTAGTGGCAAAGCCAGGACTATCTCCATGTCCTCTGTCACCTTAGCTCACCTCCAGTCCCACTAATAACAGGTGAAACTGAAGACCCCCACACCTTGGTTCTATTCTGTCCCACACGGACAAGGTGTGTTGCTTCCCACCTAGATGATGTCATCGAGAAGCAGATTGAAGATGGGCTTCTGCGGCCAGAACTCCGGGAGAGGGTCAGCTATGTCCTTCTGAGGAAGCATCGTCACCAGACCAAGAAGCCCATCCACCGCTCCTTGGTGGACATTGGAAAGTCCGTCTCCTCCACCACGAGTGAGTTGGGCTATCTGTGGGTGTCCATTGGCCATGGGGCAAGTGTTGGACCCAGGGCCCAGGCAAGCCTGCCTTGGTGACTGAGAATGTCTGACTTCATGATCCTGGACAAATTCAGTATTGGCTCTCAGCCTGAGCTGCACATTACCATTCCTTGGGGGTTTGGGCCAAGACCTATGGCCTGGGCCCCACTGTAGACCATTGGGTTCAGTTGGTCTACAGCACGGCCCTGGATAGAGGCAGGTTGGAAAATGCCCAGGGCTCCTCATGTGCTCCCAGTAGTGGAGGCCCTGTCAGGGATAGCTTGCTTAGGAAGGGCCTGAGAGCTTTTCACGGAACCCCCAAGGAGGATAATCCATATTGTAGGTGTTGTTCCTAACATCCTCAGTTAAGATGCCTGAGGCACAGAGGTTAAGTAAGTTGCCTAAGGTTACACGGCCAGTAAGTGGTGGAATCAGAAATGAACTCAGGAAGTCTATTACTCCTAGAGCCAATATAAACAATTATATCTATCTCACTTTCAACAGTACAAATGTTTTCTCTGTAATCTTGTTCAGGCTATAAACTTGCTTCAAAAAAAAAAAAAGTTCTTCCTGGAAGAGGAAGAGACTCATCTTATGACCTGACTTTATTTAGTTAAGGTGACTGTACGAGGATAGCAGGCTAATACAAGAGGCTGCCCCACACCAGCCATGCCACGGGAGCCCAGTGTCCCCTGTTCCTCTCCCCAGGCCGGAGCCCCGCCCGGAGCCCTGCAGCTGGCCCAAGTCTGCGCCGCTCCACTGAGGACCTGAGGATTCGGCAAAGTGCAAATTACGGACATCTGTGTGAGTGTGTTCTCTGCCCCTCAGTGATGGCTTTGTTCTGGCTGTGACAGCTGTGGAATGGCCATATTTCCATGGATGGAGGGGGGACAGCCCAGGATCTGGCCTGGATTCTCAGGACATGCACAAAGAAAAATCTAATGTTCACCTTGAACCTGGGCTGCCCTCAAGGCCTGAGTCAGGACCATAATAGTCCAAGTCCCTCTGAAAAATGAGGTCCCAAGTCAGTTCCTGGCATGATTAATACCAATCCTATGTTCTACTAGTGTGTATCTTAGTCTATACCTGGGTTTTCACTAAACTGATCATTTGCCCTGTTTTCTCACAAGAATCTTTTCTAGAAATGGAATTAAAACCCTTTCAGATCCTTTCCCGCCAGGGCAGTTAGACAGCATTACCATTGGTGGTAACCGCCTCCTATCTCCGGACAGAAGAAATGTGGGCAGAGCCATGGGGATGGACTAGGGCGCCTGGGAGGTGCAAGGTCAGAGACAGGTCTTCTCGGGTGGTTCATTGGAGTGAACAGTCCGGTAAGCTGTGAGCAGAAAGAAGAAAGAGATTGGGAAATGAAGAAAAAAAGACAAAGGAATGTGAAGGATTATTTTCCTCTAGATACTTTACTCAAATCCTGACATAGCAACAAGTGCAGGCCAGGACTGTGCCTTGAATAGACTGGAGGAATGACTGGTGACAATGTGGTCCCTGCCTATGGCCTCTGCCACAGCAGGAGGTTGCTCCAGTTTTCCTCTCTGTCCTAATGCCCAAGTTCTCTTAGTCTCCTCTGGTCCTATTATTCTACTTAGGGCTGCCACAGGCAGTGGGCGGTAAGCAGAAAGGGGCTTTAGAAAGACTTTCATGTAGTGACTCTGTGCTTGTGTGCACCCCACCCTAGGGTGGCCCAGGCCACAGTCCATAATGAAGGAAGCCTCAGAGAGGAAGAAACACATAATGAAGTCCTGGAGATTAAATAGGAGTTTTAGGGGCAGGAAGAGGTATTTTAACATGTTCACAATGAGGCCATAATTTGTGTCTTGGTTCTTTCTGCGTGGCTTGAACCACTGTTGGCACATGCATAACTGTCCCATTGGGCAGCTTTATATTATTTTTATTAGTAAAAAGACCAATAATAGTGATTAGATCTGTTTGTATGATCAGTGGTACAAGCTACCCAATGGGAGAGTCATGCATGTACTGCCACTTGTTCAGGTCAGCGGGAATGTGTTTAAGAAAAGATCAGAAACAGCAGTAAAGGAAAAGAGTTGTCAGGAAGGAACATGCATCCAGTTCACTAGAAGTGCAGGGGTTAAGGGAAGAGAGGGTCAAATCCAAGAGGGTCTCATGGATCCAACAAAAGAACTCAGTTGGGGCATGGTGGCACACGTCTGCAGTCCCAGCAGTCCCAGCACTTGGGAGGCTGAGGCAGGAGACTTGGCATGAATTCGAGGCCAGCCTGGACTACATAGTGAGTTCAAGGCCAGCCTGAACTACATAGCAAGACCCTGTCTCAAAAAAAACTCACAAAAATTTAAAAGAACCCAGACATCATTCTGAAGGTGATGGGGACCCTGAGAAGCCTGAGGCAGGAGCACATTGTGATCAGATTTTTATCTGAGAAAGAATAAACTAGAAGAGGGCAGGACTGGCAGTGACAGCCTAGATCTGCATTCAGGAATGGAGAGAAAGGGTTGAGTGGGATGCACTGGCTAGGGAGAAGTAGGAGGTGAAGCAGAGGAAGGAGCTAAGGCTGCTCCCATTCTGCTCCCAGAATGACCAGTGGGTAGGATCTAGGCACACGGAGTGGAATAGTGTCTGTAGGGGGACAGACTTGGTAGAAGACACAGTAATTGGTTTGGTTTGAGGTGCCAGGTGAAACTGCTCCAGTGGGTCTGGAGCTCAGCAGAAAGATGGGACTGGAGATGCACCCTGGGTGTCGTCAACCCAGACGTGGAGTGGGAGCAACAGGAGTGGATGTGACGAGGAGGGAGAGGGGATGTGACAAGGTGAGGCCTCTGAGGGGAGGAGGGCTCTGAGAAGAGCCGCACAGGAAAGGAACCTGGGATGGAAACAAGAGCAGGACAGCCAAGGAGACCAGTGTTCTGGAAGCAAGGAGTGGCCATAGGCCAAAAGGCAAGGAATTGTGGGTCTAAGAGCATCCATTGGATTGGGCTGCTAGTGGGAAATAAGAGCTAACTTCCGGAGAAAGGAACGATAGGCAGGTCAGAGGATGCACTGCCACTGTTCTCCTGGTGAGGAGGCTCACTTCCCTCCTGCTTCTACCTATACTCCTAGCCTGTCTCTTAAGGCTTTCATGGGTCATGGAGGGCAGAGATGAAACTAGTCTCTCTTGCCAACAAATTCCAATTTAGTGACTCATAGTACCTTGTCTGAAAAGGCATCTTTGTCCTTCCTCCCATTTGGACCTGGTACATAGCCAGAATCTGGAGTAGACCTTTTGGTGATATCCAAGAAGGTGGAGCCAAGGGATGTAGGCCAGAGTGTAGTAGGCTGAGAAGTGAGAAGGAAGAAGTGGAACCTGGAGCCTCACTACTCTTTCAAAAAAACTTCAGCTGAATTGGAGGAGAGCAAGAGGATGGTAGTTTAAGGGGGCTGCAGGGATAAGGGAAGGGGGCCTTGCTTTGCTTAATGAACATGGGAAGGCATAAGTTTGGGCCAAGAGAAAAAGACCCGTGAGCATCTGGCTTCTTTTAACAAATCTTCTCCTTCTCTCCTAGGCCATGCCCAGAGCAGAAGCATGAATGACATTTCTCACAACCCTAACACAGACCAGGTAGTAAAGCCTCTGTACTTGGCTGCAGTGGAGGACCACCAGGGCAGGGAGAAGCCTTTGGTTTCAGGGGCAGAGTCCCTTTGTGCAGAACCCCACAACCATGGAGGAGGGCAGTCCCCAGGAAGGATCCTGGTGGGAGTTCTGGGCTGCCTTGGTGACTCGTCAGTTAGGTACTAAGTCCTAGCAGTTGCTCTATGTCAAGGGAGAAAACTAGCAGCACACATAGCTTCCCATCTCCCGTAACCCTCAAGCGATGGGATAGGGATTGAGGCTGGCAGAGAGGAAGAAGTGAACCTCCCCATGGAGAGAACAGTGATACCTATTTAGCTGGACTGCCCTGGAGTGGGTCCTCTTCCTCAGCTAGGGCAGAAGAACATGGACCCTGGTCTCCCACTAGTATGGCTGGCTGAAATACCCTTGATGAGATCAGAATCCTTCAAACAGACTCTAAGGCCTACAGCCAAGAACTTGTGACCACCTGGGGAGGCTGAGAAAGACCCTCAATTCTAACCCTTCCATACCTCAGGGGCCTGAGGCTCCATCTGTGCCTATAGGAGTAGGACGAAAGGTGACAATGAAACCTGAGACTCAATGAGAAGTCCTCAGAAGCTGGGGTGACCTTCAAGCCTTTAAGGCACTGCCAAGTTTGGTAGAAGGCAAAAGAAAAACAAACCCTGTGTCAGTGTCAGGGGCCCTTTGTAGCCAACAATAAAATAACAATAACATTAACCAACATTTAAGGCCCACATACTGCATGTGCTACTCTGTACTGAGGGTTTCCTGTGCATTCATGAAGGTACTGCATCCTTCCCATTCTACTGATCAGAGAACATTGAGACTTGAAGGAGCTAAATAGCATGCCCCACTTTATCCTGCTGCAAGGTGGCAGAGCCCAGATTTCACCCGGGCAGTCTGACTCTGGGAGAGAACCCTATTTGGGAATAATTTAGAAGCCAGTCAGTATTCTGAAATATTTTTTAGAGAAAAATACCACTTTATTATAGTTATGCACATGAACAGTAGAACCTTGATAAGAAAGCATTATCTGGTAAAGATTTTTAATAATCTATTTTAATAAATGCATAAGTGGCAATAGCAACTGGCTGTCACTTTTACCAGGCAATGCTCCTTTGATATAGGGATCAGAACCCAGCATCTAATGTGTCTGTTTCTCTTGGGTGCTACACGAATCTGCTTCTCAGTATTTGTACATCTGTGCCTTGCACACCAGGATGCTCTTTAAGTACAAATACAGAAGCATCTGCCCTGCAAACTTTCTTCATCATTGGTTTGTGTAAAGCTAAACTCCACACCTACCCCTGGCCAGTGGGTTCCCTGTGAACAGAGAGTGGATCCATGGAGCACTGCCATGCTTCAGTGACTATGTGCTGAGGAGCTGGGCTAGGGTTCCATGGGTTTGGGAAGTGAGGTCAGTGAAACCCTGGTTGGACAAGCCCATATCTGTGGCAAAACCATGGTAGGCAGAACATCCCATGACCCCATTTCTGGGATGCTACCACCCCAACCCTCCTGACCAAACACATCACAACCTGCAAGGAAAGATCGAGGCCGTGTTTCAATTCTTCTTCTGTCCTGGATTACAGGTGGGCTGGTGCAGGTGGCACCTGGGGCTCATCAAGCTCCAAGGTTCTTTCCTTTGATCCCTTATCCCATACAGTAGTTGAGCACTTTTCACTCATCAAGGAAGGCTTTAGGGGTCACATCACTGCAGGTTCTATCCCATCTCCAGGGCTTCATAGGTCTCTGGGAGAGTTGGGTTATTTCTTTCAGTTTCTTTTCTTTTTCAATACTGGGGATTGGACCAGAATCTTGTCACTTGTTACATTCCCAGGACTTTTAATCTTTTACTTTGAGGCAGTGTCTCACTAAGTCGCTATGTTGCCCAGGCTAGGTTCCAACTTGCCATTCTCCTGCCTCTCTCTCTCTCTCAGAGTTCTGGGATTACATGCATTGACATCAGGCCTGGCCTTTTTTAGTCTCTTAAGAAATACCAAGAGCATCTTTTGAAGTTAGGCCTCCAGTGCAGACTGCAGGGGAGTGAGGGGGTGAGAGCATGTGGAGTATTCTTGCCTTGTTTCTCCCTCCCTGGCTAGAGGAAAAACAAGTTCATGAAGAAGATCCCCAAGGACTCAGAAGCCTCCAATGTGCTTGTGGGGGAGGTGGACTTTCTGGACCAGCCTTTCATTGCCTTTGTGCGTCTCATCCAGTCTGCCATGCTGGGAGGAGTGACTGAGGTGCCTGTTCCCACCAGGTGAGAGCCACTGAAACCTGTGGCCATGCCTGCGGCAGGGAGCCAGTTTAACATGAAGTCAGCAAACAGTGCTGTTAGGGATACTTTTTGTTTGTTTGTTTGTTTGTTTTGGTACCGGGGATCGAACTTGGGACCTTGTGCTTATGAGGCAGGCGCTGGAACCACTGAGCTAAATCCCCGGCCCCCAAAATTTCTGCTTTTTTTTTTGGTACCGGGGATTGAATTCTGGTCCTTGCGCTTGCGCAGCAGGCGGTAAAACCACTGAGCTAAATCCTCGGCCCTTGTTAGGGATACTTTTAAAGGTAGAGAGGGGCTGGGAATTTAGCTCAGTGGCTCCACTGCCTGCCTCACAAGTGCAAGGTCCCGAGATCCATCCCCAGTACCAAAAAACAGAAACAAAAACAAAACAAAACAAAAGGAGGGCCAGAGATTTAGCTCAGTGGCACCACACCTGCCTTGAAAGGGCAAGGTCCTGAGTTTGATCCCTGGTACTGCAAAAAAAAAAAAAAAAAGTAGAGGGAAATCTGACCAATGATGAACTTTACAGGGTTTATTTCAAATAATCATAAAGAAGAAAGAGGAATTAGCAGGGAGAGAAGCTGTTGGGTGGGGTTGGGCAGCAAGACAAAGTGAGGAGCTTAGTGGAAGCAGAAGATATGTTTTCCCATCAAATCTAACATTCAGAGGAAGAAAGTTTAGAAGTTAACAATGGATACTATTGAAGACCAAAGAATTCTTCTCTTCTGGTTTTCCTTCTCATTTTTCTTCTCCTCCTTCTTCATCTTTGTAGGTTTCTTTTCATACTGCTGGGTCCTTCTGGGAGAGCAAAATCCTACAATGAAATTGGCCGTGCCATTGCAACTCTCATGGTGGATGACGTAAGTGGTAACAAGAAGCATGCACTCTGGAATGTTCTGGCTCCTGCACTAAGGACTGCACTTGCTGAATTATCCAATAGGCGCATTTGAGCAGCTGCTGTCTACCAGGCCCCGTGCAGGGTACTGAAGATTGTGAGATTCAGGGACCAGTCACTGTCCTTTAGGAACACCAATCCAATGGGAAGGACAGATTTGTAATAATAAAGTCACTCATATGTTAGCTGCCCAAGGAGTTAAGGAGAGCTTCACAGATGAGGAGGCTTCACAGCAAAGGATGAACAGGAGGCAGTAGACCCAGCATGAGCCTAGGAGGCAGGCATTCTAATCAGAGGGAACAGGGGACAAGGCTCAAAGAAGTTGGATGCAAGTGGAGCTGGGCTCAGCATAAGAACTTCAAAGACAGGAAGTGACACCAGAGAGGTGAGCTAGACACTACACAGAGCCTGTAAGCAGAGCTATCATTCACGCTCTGTCCCCAGAGTGATGGAGAGGTAGAGGATTTCAAATACAGGCATAACCCAATCAAATCTGAGTCAGAAACGTGCTCTGGAGATGGCATGACCCTGAGCCTCCAAGTGGGGAGGGCAGGAGGTAACAAGTGGATCTGAACTGTGGGAGCCTCTCAGACTGGGCTCTGCAGAGGTTTTCTCTGTGAGAAACTGAAGCAAGAAAGGTCAAGTGACTCAAAGTCCAACAAAAGGACTGTGGAGACCCAAGCTTTAGTTCCAAGATCTCCCTTTGGTGCCAGCCCTTTCCCATCATGCCCTATTTTCCCTGCCATGCCATGTTCTCACCCCTCCCACCTATTGCAAGCTGGCAGCAGCAACAGTGGCTGCAAGTGACTCCTCTGAAACTAGCTGTGATGTGCTCCTGAGAGGTGGATAGATGGGGACCTGAGAAAGAGAGCTGACCCTTCTCTTCTTCCTGGTTTCTCACCAGCTCTTCAGTGATGTGGCCTATAAAGCCCGAAATCGGGATGATTTGATTGCAGGAATTGATGAGTTTCTGGATGAGGTCATCGTCCTTCCTCCTGGAGAATGGGACCCAAATATTCGCATTGAGCCACCTAAGAAAGTGCCCTCTGCTGACAAGAGGTGTGGGGCAGGGGGGGCTTCATTTTTATTGGTATTTTTTTATTTCTCTGTGTAAAAAAAAATAAGCAAATATGGTTAACTATGATGTGGGTAATATGATCATTTTCTGAACTTTTCTCTGTCTTTTAAAGATATTTTGTAAACTTTTTGAGAGATGAAGGGTGCCCTGGGGACCATCCTTGAGGGGCTGGACCCTTCCCATCACTGGGAGCCTTACTCCCTCTGACTCCTTCTCTTCCAGGAAATCCGTGTTTTCCCCAGCCGAGCTAGGCCAGATGAACGGCACTGTGGGAGGAGGTGGCGTGTCTGCAGGTGGAGGAGGCAATGGCAGTGGAGCTGGTGGCAGTGGGGCCAGCGGAACCAGTGGTGGAGATGATGCTGAGATGCCAGCTGCACACGAAATTGGGGAGGAGCTCATCTGGACAGGAAGGTGCCCATCACAGGCCTGACAGAGACCCCGCTGTACTCCTGACTTCTCTCCTTCCCAGCCCTCCTTCTGTGTCCTTCCCCTCCACTGTGTGTAGCACCCACTCTGGGCCATGGGGTCTGACCCCTGGGGCCTTTCCTTCCCCGTGCCCTCTTGGATCCTGAGAAAAGTTACCTCAGGAGGGGAGAATGGGGGACCCAAATTTTCTCCACATTTCTTAGGGCCACCAAAACAAAGTATTGAAAACTGGGTGGCACAAAACAGCAAAAAGTTGTTCTCAGTCAGATCTGGAGAACAGAAGTTCCAAATCAAGATGTCAGCAGGGCCAGCCCCCTAGGAGGCTCTGGGCAGAGTCCTGCCTTGTCTCCTCCTAGCTTCTGGCAGTCACCGACAGTCCTTGACATTCCTTGGTTTGCTGCTGCGTCACACCAGTTTCCACTCATGTCATCTCAGGGGCTTCTGCCTGTGTTTCTCAGCCTTCACAAAGCATTGGGCCAGGGATTTAGCTCAGTGGTGCTGCCACTTGTCTGGAAAGCAAAAGGTCCCAAGTTCAATCCCTGGTACAAAAACAAACAAACAAACAAACAAAAAGCAACAAACCAACAACAAAGCATTGTCCTCTTTGTATAAGAACACCAGTCATATTGGATCAGAGCCCACCCTAATGACTTCATTATAACTTGATCATATCCACAAAGGCTCTATTTCCGAACAAAGTCACAATCACAGGTACTGGGCTTAGGTTTTTAATACATCTTTTGGTGGGAACACAATTCAATACATAGTAGTACCTTTTGAAAAATCTTAACATTACCTATACAAAAACTTCATTTTTCTGTCTTCTAAGAGAAGAAGAGAAAATTCTCCTGGCCTGGGTTCTTTGCCAGCTCTTGGGGTCACCCAGGTAGATCGAGATTTAGGAAAGGACTGAGCCTACAGAGCCATGTGCAAATCACGACTCTGAGAAAGCCATGTTTTTATGTCCTTGGCTCCACCCCAGGGGTTCTTAAAACTGAAAGCAACTTTGCCCTTCTCCTCCTCTCTACCTCCTGGTTCAAGGGATTTGGCAATGTCTAGAGACATTTTCATTTGTCACAACTGGAGAGGAAATGCTCCTGGCATCAAGTGGGTGGAGGGCAGGGATGCTGCTAAACACCCTAAATGCACGAGGTACCTCTCTCCAACAAAGGATTTGACAGTTCAAAATACCAGTAATTTTGAGGTTGAGAAACCCTTGCTAAGGACTGGCTTAGGAACTATGGGAAGTAGCATCCTCAGTAAACACTATTCCCAAACCTAAAATTCCCAACTCAGTTGTTCCAGAGAGCAAAGAAATCTGTCAGTTATAAGGTTTAGCATCTAGCCCTAATGAATCTTTGTGGTAACCTGGGCTGTCTCTATGTCCTGTAGCTGGGCTGTGTTTACCACGCAAAGGAGCCCTGTGGATGGTCAGAGATGTGAGGAGGACCATCATCTGTGGGCCCCAAGATATTTATTCCCAGACAGTTCCTGTGCCCATACAGGCTTCGGCCACCCCCCTTAATGTGAAGGGTGCTGACTATAAACTTTCAATCTTGCAAAAATTCCTCTCTGTTCTTAAATATTCTGATCTTTGTCCCCATCCTCTTGTGGTCAAATTCTCTTTCCCAGCCCAGACTCTGCAGGACCCTGTAAATAGCCCTTCCCCTGCTCTGGTGCTTGTAGTGAGAAAACAGCTCCTGGGCCTGTCTCAAACAGGTTCTTTGGCGGATTGTGTCTGGACGTCAAGAGGAAGCTACCCTGGTTCCTGAGTGACTTCTGTGATGGCTTCCACATCCAGTCCATCTCTGCCATTCTGTTCATCTACCTCGGCTGCATCACCAACGCAATCACCTTTGGTGGGCTTCTGGGTGATGCCACTGACAATTATCAGGTGTGTGAGCTGGAGACTTAGGTGCAAATGTCAATAAAATCTGCTGTCACCTGGTGACAGCAAGGAGCTTCATCCTGCAATCCCAACACCAAACCTTAATGCACCATCAAGGCCCAGGCCTTCACTATATTTTTGTTTGTTTTGTTGGTTGGTTTGTTGGTTTTGAGACAGGGTCTTGATATGCAGTTCAAGCTGAGCTTGAACTCACTATGTCACCCAGGCTGGCCTTGGACTCTTGGTGATCCTCCTTTCTCAGTTTCCTGAGTAGTGGGATTACAGGCGTGCACCTCCATGCCCGGCTCAAAGCCATCACTATTTGTAATCCTTAATAATAACAACAACAATAATTACTAAGGACCAAATTTAAGCATGATATAAATAGGTCAGACTTTAAAGGAGAATCGTCTGCTTTGTTATTATTTGATACTTTTCCCAGTGATGCTTCTTTATTATTTATTAAATTTATTAGTACATTTTAGGTATACAATACGATGACATTCATTCAGGGAATTTGTACCTTTATATGATATATTTTGGTTCCCCAGTGATACTTGAGTGGATTTAAACAGCACAATTATTTGCATTGCTAATTGTGGGCTTCTCCCATACTTGTTTTACTTTTTAATTTGTTTTGTTTTGTTTTGTTGGTACCGAGGATTGAACTCGGGTCCTTGCACTTGTGAGGCAGGTGACAGAACCACTGAGCTAAATCCCTGGCCCTGTTTATTTAGTTTTTCAGACAGGGTCTTGCTATATAGTTTGGGCTGGCCTTGAACTCACTGTGGTAGGCCAGGCTGGCTTTGAACTCATGGCAATCCTCCTGCCTCAGCCTCCTGAGTGCTGGGATTACAAGCATGCACCACCAAACCCAGCGTCCATACTTGTTTTTAAACCAACTTTGATTGCTTTGGTTGGAGTTGAAACTTTTATAGAAAGATAGTAAGCTGCTACCATCACAACAGCACAAGGAAAATGCCAATTCACCAGAGACACCTGTCCATATGCTAGGCAGTCTTTTCCACTGGAGGCCTTTGGGGTAGAACCATTCGAAAGCTCAGAGCTCCAAGGGAAAGGCCCATTTTCTGATAATTTGAGATGAATGCCTACTGCCAGCCTGCATCTTTCTCCCTAGCTTCAGGTCCAGTGTCCAGTTGCCTCCTGGGCATGTCCATGTGGCTGCCCCATGGGATCCCCCAATTCACAGGTGACATTACCTCTATTATCTTGCCTCCTGGTCTGCAGCGTAGCAGATGACATCATGGTTCACCCAGCTGTCCATAGCAGAAACTAGACATTGGGCTGGGGATTTAGCACAATGGCACCATGCCTGCCTTGCAAACACAAGATTCTGGGTTCGATCCCCAGTACCAAAACAAAATAAAACAAACAAACAAACAAAAAACCAACTAAGCATCATTCTGAACTCAAACATCCAGCTTCCCCTCATGGTCCTCATGGCATGGCCCTACTTGCCTCTCAAGCCTCATCTCCTAGCATTCTCTTTCTCAGTGTTCCTGCCCTGCTCACTCATTCTATAATCCATTTTCCATCAACCCTGATCATCTTTAAGTTCTTCAAAGAGATGCTCCTGTTCAGCTCCAGACTTTGTATACACGATTCCCTCTTTTGGGATACTTTCTCTTATTCCACTTTTCCCTATTCTCCTGGCCAATCCCTGCTTTGCACATATCTATATCTAGGGTAGCCTTCCTGACTGTACTTCTGTGTCATCCAGGTTGTCACACTCCTTGGTAGTGGCTCTCAACCAGGGGCAGTTTTGATCCAAGGTAACATCCAGAGACAGTTTTGATTGTTAAAACTAGAAGGGAAATGGCTACTGGGATCTAATGGGTAGAGACCAGGGATGCTGCTAAACATCTTACAATGCATAGGACTAACCCCACTACAGAGAAGTATCTAGCCTGAAACATTAGTAGTGCCAAGGCTGAGGAGCCCTGTTGTATGGAAATTGGTTACTTATCAGTATACCCCACCAGACTGAAGATGTGCTATCTTGTTCACTGATAGGTCTCCACTACCTGGCACAATGCCTGGTACATAGCAGGCACTTAGCAGATTGTGAGTGAATGAATGATCTGAGCTCTATGAACACCAAATATATGTTTGGAGGAATAATGAATGAATAGGCTGAACTGTGCGAGTCAGATGGACACAGGGACAAGCATATCTACTGTTTTCTGGGCCCTGAACTGCCAAAAGGAAGTCACAAAGGACTTTTATCCAAACAGAATTAAAGAGAGTGATACTGGCCACGGTGGCAAATTGTGGGGATGGAGGTGGAGAGTGGGGTTAGGGGAAGAAAGGGCCCAGAGCGAAGGATGCACACTGGTCTGGGCCCTTGGAGAAATAGCAAGGTTGCAGCGTATGTGAGGAGATCCCCTTCTCCTGCCTCCACTGTGCTCACACTTCTTGCACCCCCAGGGAGTAATGGAGAGCTTCCTGGGCACTGCCATGGCCGGTTCCTTGTTCTGCCTCTTCTCGGGACAGCCTCTCATCATCCTCAGCAGCACCGGGCCCATCCTTATCTTTGAGAAGCTCCTCTTCGACTTCAGCAAGTAGGTGCCCCCTAGTGGCCTCTTGCACTTAAGACAGCCAAGGCCAGGGCAGAGGAATATGCCCAAAGGGGAAGCAGGGTTGAAGAGGTGTCAGTGCCATCTTTAGCTCTGAGAAGGGCTGCCAGTGGTTCCTTCTGACTCCTGCTAGCTACCTGCCTTTGGTTATCTTAGGGCATATTAGCACAGCCCTTAAAGAGCAATTCAGGCAAGACAAGAGGAGAAAATTTACCTACTCTGCTCATGAGCCATTATAATTTGTAAGCCAGTGTAGTGTGTAAAAAAATCTAGGGTTGGAAGTCAGAATGCTACATCCAGACCCAGGAAGCTTCAGTCATTCAGGATCAGCTGCCTCATCTACAACACAGAAGTTTGGTCTAGACCATTTCTAAGGCCTGCTCCACCCCTGTTTATCTGAAATCTCAGGTGTTTTTCACTCCCTGTGGATGTCTCTTACAAACTATGTGAGCACAAAGGTGTCTTAGCACCTTCCTGCCACTCCCATGAGATCCTTTCCTAAAATTCTCAAAAATCAGGCAACCTTCTCAGGAATTGTCCCTGTCCCCACTCATCTTACAGTCCCTAGAAAGGCATCTGTGCCATTGGGAAGAGAAATGACCTGCTCATGATGAGCATAGGGAGCAGAGCACAGGCAGGAGCCCTGGGCTGGAGGCCCCCTGGTTTCCCTCTGCCTTCCAGAGGCAATGGCCTGGACTACATGGAGTTCCGCCTCTGGATTGGCCTACACTCAGCCATCCAGTGCCTTATCCTGGTGGCCACAGATGCCAGCTTTATCATCAAGTATATCACCCGCTTCACTGAGGAAGGCTTCTCCACCCTCATCAGCTTTATCTTCATCTATGATGCCATTAAGAAGATGATCGGTGCCTTCAGGTACTACCCCATCAACATGGACTTCAAGCCTGACTCCATCACCACATACAAATGCGAGTGCATCGCCCCTGATCCAGGTGACCGGAAACCCCAGACACACCCTGGACCCCCACCCACTCACTCTTTCCTACCACAGCTCTCTATCAAATGCAGGAGAGTGAGCCTGTGTGGGAAAGGGCTGTTCAGCGAGGCACTTACTGTTCCAAGGGAGCAAATGCAGTCTTAAACTCAGTTTTTGGAAGGAAACCAAAGGAACAGTAGCCTATTATAATAAGAGCCACAATATCAGCACCTAGGGTTATAATCAGAAAGTGCAGGGATAGCCCAGGAACGAGTAAGGCATAGCTTGCCTCAGTGTGGGGTGGACTGCTGCCCACACCAGAGGTAGATGATACCTCAAGTCCCTGCCAGCCCTAGCAGTCCTCCAACACACTACTGTCAAAGTGGTCACATACCTCATAAGGTGAGACTACACCAAAGGGATGACTGTCCCTACAAACTGAAACATGCTAGGGTAGAGGATGTGCCATTCTATTTAAAAACAGCTGGAGAACCCGGGGCCATTCCACCACTTAGGGATGTGAAAGGAGGATGGTCATGTCAAGAAGGGCCATCTTTACCCTCTGGAACTACAGGATATAAACAGCATGAGAGATGAGGGACCGGAGTTGCTGGGATCAGATGCTGGCTGGATTTAGGAAAGAATTTACGATGGAAGAGTCAACATCAAAGCAGGAATCAGCCCCCTTGGTTGGTAGCCAGGTCCTTGGACTCCTGGATGTCCATGTGCCAAGGATGTTGTGAAAGGGGTTCCCACACTGGGTGGGAGGAGAAATCTAAGTGCCATTCCTGTGGACTTATTTTCTGGCCCAAAATCTGACATCCAGAAAGTTAGCTCCCCATAGTGTCTGACCTCCTACCCTCCTTCACAGTCACACTTGAGCTCCTAAGAGCCTTAACTGGGATGTGTTCAGAGGGCCTAGGCTACCAGAGTGGGAGCCAGAAACCCCTTCACACAGCTTCATATACCAGCCAGGCTAGACCCACAGAGAGCAGACTGAGGTCCAGAGGCCACCCAAGGTCACACCAAACCTCAGTTTCCCAGGTTGTAAAGGAGGGATATTAATGTTGGCCCTGCTTAAATCTATGGTCAGATTGGTTTAGAAGAAGTAAGTAGACAGTGGATAGTAGATTGCTCAGTCCTTTAATATATTACAATTGGTAAAAATAGATCATAAGTCAATCAAAAATATTTGCCACATAATTATCAAGGGTCCTACTTTACGTTTTATGGAAAATAAAAGTGCCGTACTTGGAAGAAGTTTAGTTTTTGTTATATCCACTCTCCTTGGCACTGCACTTTTTTTTTTTTTTTGGCACCGGAGATCGAACTTGGGTCCTTGTGCTTGCACAGCAGGCAGTGAAACCACTGAGCTAAATCCCCGGCCCTGCACTGATTTTTGTAAAGAAGTCTAGGCTTAATTTTTTTCTTTCACTTTTTTCTATCCTTAATTTTGAGTTATCTTTGCCCAGGTGCCTGATGCCACCTCATTCTTTTGGCTCTTGCTATTGTCATGGTTCTCAAAGTGTGATCCCCAGAGCAACAGCACCAGGGCTATCTGGAGACTTGGCAGAAATTCATATTTTTAGGCCACACCTTAGAGCTACTGAATCAGCAACTCTGGTGTTGGGTCCAGAAAATAGAAAGCCTTCCAGGTGCACTCTCAAGTTGAGAACCTCTGCTTTCTTAGTAATACTGAGCCATTACAAGCTACCAATCCATCAGATGAGAACTTTAGTGTCTTCGCAGAGTAAAGGAACTGGACAAGCTAGTTTTGATTAGGAGAATATGGAAAGGGAAGTTCTACGTACCTAGGAGACTAGGGAGTGGGAGCCAGCTAGTTTCATCCTCATCCATGGACCACATACTTACTATACTCCAGGTTTTACTGCAAACCCCAGCCTAGCTACGGCATACTATCATTCTTTGTCACTCTTCATCATAACACTTTGTTTGGGGGCACTCTCTTTTTATGCTTACTTTTGTTTCCATTGTAACTGATTTGTATTCTGTTTGTGGATGCTGCAAACACTGATTTGGCTGCTTTCAATCCCAAGTGAGTACCGTTTTGTGAACACTGGAACCTTTCTGGAATTTTTCCTGTTATATTTCTTCCATCTTCATCTCAAGTGACTTTTAGACAAGCCCTGTGAAACTCTCCATATAAGTGACATTAAGAGGATGTCTGGCCTAAAAATGTTGGTAGTGGAAAATGTCTGGATTCCTGAGGTCAAGCACAGGCAGGGGGACCCCTAGCATTTGAGTGGGTAGCCCTAACTCAGCCTTCTTACCCAGCTTCTCTGTCTGTGGCTGTAATTGTGCATGATGTTCTCTTGGTCAGCAATGTGAGGAAAGGTAATAGATGCCCCGATTTCTAATAAATGAAGCTTTCTTCATAACAATACTAAAAATCCTCTGGGTTTATAGACTCCTAGAAATATTCTGTTCTGGATTGGGACTGACCTCCTTAGTCACTGGCCCAAATGCCCTGGAGTGAACAACTTAGAGGGGACTTGTGACCACATCCTGCCCTGTGGACTGTTTATTGGAGGTGTCGGGGAGAGCCTCAAGATTAAAATATTCTCTCTGGTTTTCTAACCAAATGTGGACAACAGCAGGAGCCAAATGGGGTTTGAAATGCATTTCAGGCTATTTGCCTGTACATTGGCTGGTGGGCTCCCCCCGCACCCCAAATCTACTGTAGAGAAACTGCTTATTCTGCCTTTGCTTGGAGAAAGGTGAAGAGAAGCTGACCTTCACTCCCTCCTTGCAGTGGAGGAGGAAGAGAGAAGGGAGGTAGTGGTCCTCCAAAAGACTTTTTTTTTGGTACCAGGGATCCAACTTGGGTCCTTGTGCTTGCGCAGCAGGCGGCAAAACCACTGAGTTAAATCCCCGGCCTCCAAAAGACTTTTGTAAGAATGGCTGCATCCTCTGGGCAGTTCAGCCCTGTGAGTAATGTGCTGTCCCCAAAGGAAGGAGCAGGAGGCCAGCAGAGAGTAGAAGTGGGAGTGGAAGGGTCCACATGGAACCAAGAGGATGCAGATTATGGTTCCTCCAACTTTCCTCACAGACCTGAAGGGACCCTTAGATGCACTTAGGGACATGTCCACGGCCTGGTGGAGGGCCATGCATGGCAAAGGATGTAGAGTGAACAGCTGAGAGCAGCACCTTTGTACTCTCGATGTTCCTCTAGGTCTCAGATATTTTCCTCATTTTGCATCGAAGGGGCAGATTAGACGATAATATTATGGCAAACAAGTTATTGCAGGCCCAGCTGACCTTAAAAAGCACATATGGAGAAGGGCTGGAGAGAAGAGAAATGTTGGTTCAGGGGAACAGGGCAAGGAAGCCCACTGTGCAGAGCTGGGAGATTTGTAGGCTCTGGGCCAGTTTGCCTGGGATGGGACTGTGACTCCAAGTATGAACTATGTGACCTTGGGCAATGGGCAAGTTAACCTCTCTGGGCCTCAGTTACCTCATCTGTAAAATGGAGAACTTTTCAGAGATTTGGGAACTTAACAAATGAATATGTATAAGGGTTTGGCGTAGTGCATGGCATGGAATTAGTTCTTTGCAAATGTTTTTTTAAGTCTAGCAGCACAGAAATGGGCCTAGTGGCCAGTAGGGATTCATAAGGCACATTAGTCACCAACTTGTCTCAGCTCCAGTTTCTGTATGTCAGTTTTGAAAGCCAGATGTTCAACGTCAGACCACAGTCATCCTAGACTAACCCAGCTGTTCTGGTTCTGCTGGTACCTGGGCTCCCTCCCACCAACCTTCCCTCCCCAGGGCAAAGTGAGAGGGTAAAAAGGCATGGATATGATCTGCTGTCACAGTGGAAGCCAGTCCTTGGCTCTAGGAACTGGAGGGAGACAGAAAAGGGAGGTCTGGTGCGGGTTCCAGGCCACTCAACCGAAAGCCACTGACCCATCCTTGTGTCGTGTACTGGTCCACAGTGAATACAACTGTCTTCAATGCCTCAGCCCCGCTGGCACCAAACACCAACAATTCTCTGGTAAGTCCTTTCCTCTTAGACTAGACATTCAAAGTGCTTTTTGTTTGTTTCTGGCAGGAGGGGTGTGTGTGTGTGTGTGTGTGTGTGTGAAAAAAAGAGTTGGGAAACTGAGACCAAAGCACAGCAATCCAAACTCTCAGAAGTCGCCCCTAAGGGCACCTGCACAGCTTTGTAAGTGCATAGTTAAGTATATACTGTAAACATCTGTTTTTAAAACTATACCTCATTCTATAAATCCATGTGCATAAATACGATACACACATGAAGGAAGTGGAGGTAAGGAAGAATATTACACAAGGCTATATACACAGGCTATAAACATCATTTCTTTTTCTCTACCTTGTCCTTCCCTCTCCACCTTGGACCCTCAGTTCCCACCCAATTCCCACTGTTAATTAGTGTCTCACCTCCAATGACTCTGACCTGCCCTTTGCACTCCTTAGTCCTCAGGATTTGCAGGTTTCATCTGTCTTTCCCAATAATGACAAACAATGGCCCTCAGGAGCCACTATCCCAGCCTGAGTGGGTCTAATGCCAGGGAGTTCAAATCCAAGTGAAGAGTAGCACCTAGAAAGCCTGCAGATGTTTAGTGTTCCTGAGGTTGCTTCACAAGTTACCTCGGAACAGGCACCTGATGGCCCTACCTCCACACATCCCAGTTGGCAATTTAACCTAAAAATTTTTCAAATATCAGATTTTGAGGGAGGAAGAATGGAATCATCAGTATCTATTTCTCAATGGCTATTATGTACAAGACACTGTGTGCACTGAGAGCTAAAAAAAAGAAATCTTAAGAAATCAATGTGGGGTAGGGGTGTATCTTAGTGGTAAAGAGCTTGCATAGCATGTGCAGGGACCTAGGTTCAATTGCCAGCATTGTGAAAAACAAACAAGTAAACAAACAAAAACATCAATGTGGCCTCTGTCCTCAAATTTGCTTTTGAACCTGAAAAGTTATTGGATAACACAAGCAGAATGTGCCATGCATCAGATATAGGTTACACATGTACTTCTGACCCTAATGGCAGGAAAGGAGACCTGCTAGAGAGGCCAGGGGAAAAGGCTCATTGAACGTGTGTTGATGTTCCAGGTTGAGAGGAGGTTGGCTTGGTAGAGAAAAGTGTATTCCAGGCCAAGGGAGCATCATACAGAGAGACCAGAAAGGAAAAGCACAAAAACTGCAGGGGACAGCGAATAGCCTAAGATGGGGTGAGGGTGGAGATTGCATGGGGAAAATCACAAGAGACAAACTGGAAAAGAGTCACTGGAGCTGGAGGAGAGTGGGGACATACAGTAGATGAAGCCCCAGAATGCAAGACAGCATGGGAGGGCTGGCTTACTAGATCTCATTTGTATCAGTTCCTGCATAACACACTGTCCTCAAAATCAGTGAACTAAGGCAGCAACAAGTATGATCCTCATGATTCTGTAGGTTGGCTGGCTGTTCTGCTGGGCTCACCTGGACTCAATTACGTTGCTAACTGAGCCAGCAAGCCTGGCTTCTGATGGAACAGCTCAGAGGACTCAGCCATTCTCTCCACATTGTCTCTTCAGTCCTGAGTTTTTCACAGCATAATAGTCTCACTTTCCAAGAGTATGAGGGAAGAAGCTGCAAGGCCTCTTAAATTGGCTCAAAGTCTCTTCCTCCCGTACTCTATTAGTCCAGGCAGCTCAAGGGCCCGCCCAGATTAAAAGGGGTGGGAAAATAGACTTCCCCTTTGATAGGAGGACCATCAATGCCACACTGTAAAGGAGTATGAACACAGGGGAAGCATGATTCCTTGAAGATCTTATTTATAACAAACTATTATGTTTGTCTTAATCCAAACATTCATTATAGCTATTTCCAAGTATCTGTTTACTTCATTTCATAGCTGTTCTAAACATTTCCATATTAGGGCCAGGGATTTAGCTCATTGGTTCTGCCGCCTGCTTCACAAGCCCAAGATCCCAAGTTCGATTCCTGGTACCAAAAAATAAAATAAAATCTTTTTTTAAAAAAACATTTCCACATTAACTTTTTTTGCCGGGTGGGGGGGTACTGGAGAATGAACTCAGGACCTTGTGCTTGCGAGGTCCACATTAACTTTTAAAAATATGTATTAAATTTTATTATAAATCACTCTTCTTTTCTTCCTCTTGTTACTCTTAGGCATATATAAACATGGTCATCCTTTGGGTATTGATTCCAAAATCCTCTAGGTATGCCAAAATTTGTGGATGCTCAAGTCCCTTATAGGAAATGGTGTCATATTTAAATCTAACCTATGCCCATCCTCCTGTGTAATTTAAACCATCTCTGGACTACTTATAATACATAATGCAATGTAAACATTATATAAATAGTTATTATACTGTATTATTTAGTGAATAAGAATGGGAGAAAGTCCACACATGCTGGGTACAGATGCAATTTTAAAAAAAATATTTTTGATCTGCAGTTGGGTCAATCCCATGGATACAAAGGATATAAACTCTGTGTGTGTGTGTGTGTGTGTGTGTGTGTGTGTGTGTGTGTGTAATTTCATTGTTTTTCCTGGTCTGGATTTTAGGCTCTGGAACACCAAGGAGGGGAGTAATTGAAATGTCCCAAGAAGGGACAGATAAGAGTGTGACAGGGCCAGGGATTTAGCTCAGTGGTTCAGGCACCTGCCTCACAAGCGCAAGGTCCCGAGTTCGATTCCCAGTACCAAAAAAAAAAAAAAAAAAGAGTGCGACAGAGAAGTAAAAGAGAAGAGAATAAGCATGAGACTCCAGGACAGAAGTGTCAACAAGACCCACTGAGGTTGATTCACCAAGACAGGGCCCAGCCTGCTGAGGGAGAGCACTTCCCCACTCTTGCACTGCTCTTTCTTGGTAGCAAAGCCTTACAACCTCTGTATCAGCTCCTGATCTTCTCAGATAACAGCTTGCTTGTCACTCCTTGAACCAGCCCATCCCCAGGAATCCCACTCTGTTGCTGAGGGCACCACTGTGGACTGTAGGCCTGGGGTCCCTCAGAAGGTAGACAGATAGGTGGGCTGCCTGGGACTGCAGAGGGAAGGACACAGCCGACCCACCAGGAAGATCCTGACTTTATCTCCTGTGCTTGGTCTCCAAGTACAACTCCCTTAACCTCACAGCACTGGACTGGTCCCTGCTGAGCAAGAAGGAGTGCCTGAGCTATGGTGGGCACCTGCTCGGGAACTCCTGCCAGTTCATCCCAGACCTGGCACTTATGTCCTTCATCCTTTTCTTCGGGACATACTCCATGACCTTGACCCTGAAGAAGTTCAAGTTCAGCCGCTATTTCCCTACCAAGGTAAGAGCACCCTGCAGTTCCGAGGAACCTAAAATCAGCCCTACTAAGTAAGGAAGGCCTCTGCTGAATCTCCAAGAGAGTCTGTCCCCTGACATAATGGACACCACGTGGGCACTGGCCCATGGGAGTTTAAGTTAAGGGCACAGACTTTGCAGTCTGAAGGACTGGGTCCCTTGATTTCAAGTCCCCTTAACAACACTTGGTATTTTCAGTTTTTTATATTTAACTTTTCTGAGTAGTAGTAATTTATTGTGTTTCTTAAATTTTTCATTGCCCTGATGACAAATGAAAACATATTCATGTGGGCTATATGGCCATTTGACTTTTTTCCTGAAAGTGTCTGTTTAAATCTCTTCCACATTTTCTTTTGGGTTGTCTTTTTCTGATTTGCAGGAATTCTTTGTACATTTTGTATAGAAACCTTTTTGTGATCATATGTATTGTCAATATATTTTTCTACTCTATGACTAGCTTTTTGCTTTTATAATGGGGTTTTTTGATAAACTGAAATACTTAGTGCTACTGTAACTTAATACAGTAAAATTTTCCTCAAGAATAATATTGGACAGAGATATCTTCCTATGTTATCTTCAAAGGCATCATTGTTTTTTCTTTCATGTTAGACCTACATTCCAGCAGAATTGATTCTGATGTATAGAGTATGAGAGTTTGTGTTTTTATTAAATAGTCAGTTGTTTCAGTATTTTTTAAAAGGTCATTGTTTCTCCACTCTTTTGCAAGGTTTCCTTTGCTATATATCAAATGTTTCTATATGACGTGCTCTTTATTTTGTTTCACTGGTTTATATGTATACCAGTATCAGTCTTCATTTCCATAGCTTATAAGTATTTTTAACTTTTTTATTCTTATTAGTACATGGTTTCAGTACAAAAGGACTGCATTCACTGTGGGGAGTTGGTACATGTACATAACACACCTTAATTCTATTAATGTTCCCTTCTTTTAAGGTTCCCCCCATCTCCCTCCCCATTCCTTCCATCTCCTAGAAGTCTTTGTAGCTTATAGACAAAACTTTTTCCTTGTCCTTTTTCCATCATACTATCTTGGACTTTATACTTCCACATGAATTTTTTTTTGAGTTTAAAAAATAATCTTTATTTTTAAAAAGGATGTGTGCATTACAGAAAAGAAAAACATAAGCAAAGAACCAAGTTATTCAAAGTCATAAGCAGCTTAGTTGGATGTGTCCTTCTAGGTCCTGTGTGTACATACACAGCATGCCATTTTGTGTGATTGAGATTGTACAGTGTGTGTCATGTTTTTCCACATATCATGAATATTCACCAACTCAAAACCCCAAAGATACAAGACTATTGTGGATAACCAAGAATACACCTCACCAACTCAGTCTGTTAGAAAAAATTATAATCATGCCTTTCTTGGGAACAAAAATTTCACTGAAGATAAAAATGACAACAGGTCTCTAGATAGAAGTCTTGGCAGAGTTAAAACTCAAACATTGCTGATCCTTAATGCTCAATTTAAAATGAGACATAAAGCAACAGACTACACCAAAAATGTTTTTGAGATTTATCAGATCTTACCAGATCTCTATTTTTTTTTTTTTTTGTGAGACAGAGTCCTGCTCTATAATTCAGGTTGACCTTGAACTCACTATGTAGCTCAGGCTGGCCTGGAACTTGTGGCAATCCTGCCTCAGCTTTCCAAGTGCTGAGATTACAGGTGTGCACCGCCACGCCTGGTTAGATCTCTACTATTAAGATATTAACAAGAAGGAATTAGCAAGAAGGTATGTTGCCACTAAATTATTAACATATACCTATAGTATAGCTAGAAGATACCCACCCATCAATGCTTCTCACCAAAATGTAAATCTGAACACACTGCACACATCCCTCCTGTATGCTTCCTTCCCCACCTTTGCAGCCAGCCTAAGGACAAGTGGTAATACACGCTGCCTAGAGGTAGTGTAACAATTCCAAGATGCATCTTTTCTATCAATTATAACAAAAAGACATTTACATGTTGACTAACTCACTACCTCTATTCTTTAATAATACATCGTCACCTTAGGACATCTATAAAGCTTAGATACTGTGCAATAGAGTATGAACTTTGTATACAATAAGCCCAGGTACTTTACCAAAATGCACATGCATGGCTATGGTTATAATCTCAAACCATCCTCCAGATATGGAGATACTAGCAAAGAGCCTTTGCTTACTCTAACCGCCCCCACCTTTTCCCTCTTCACTACTTCAGTGACTATGTTCAGGACCACATCTAGCTCCAAGAGGTCGCTTTGACAAAGACCATTTCCAGAAGACAGTTTTTCCTATAAACTCACTAGAGGACATTTATATAGGTGTTATTTTGCAGCCAAATGTGGTGGTACATGCCTGTAACCTCAGCACTCTGGAGGATAAGGCAGGAAGACCAATCACCACAAGTTAGAGCCCAGATTGGGCTACATAGTGAGTTCAAGGACTGACTGAACTACATACAAAGACCCTGTCTCAAAAAACTAAAAATAGCTCTTGTTGCTTTGCTACTGTCATCAGCTGCCATGAGCTGTTACCCTTCTGCCACCCTGCCTTGGAGCTAGGCAATTATGAACTGAAACTTCTAGGAACTGTAAACCAAATAAACATTTCCCCCTTTAACTCTGAGTATCAGTTATTTTGTTTTAGCAACAAGGAAAAGTAACCAACAGAATTTGGCACCAGGAGTGGGATTGCTGCTGTGACATTACCTGGTCACGTTGCTCAAGAGCCTTTGGAACTGGCTTGTGGGAAGGGGAAGAGTCCGGAAAGGTTTGGAGACACTGGCTGAAGAAGTAGACCTGGAACCCCTTCCGATGTACTGTACAGGAGATTCTGGTCAGAGCTTAGAAGAACAGAAAGCCGGTAAAGACCAGGGTCAGAAGTTTCTGCTGGGAAGGAGTTCATTGGCTGCTGGACTCCAGACTATGTGTGTTATGCCTTTGAAGAAAGTTTGTCTACATTTTTCTCATGTCCAGAGACTTTGCCTGAGACTAAGATTAAGAACAGTGGACTAATTAATCTGGCATAGAAATTTCAAGGCAGTCTGATGTTGAGGCCATGGCATGGCTGCTGTTGGGGTCTTTTAGCCAGATCTATGTTGAGAATCAAGAGCAAAGAGCCTAGCAGAATGATTTAAAATGCTTTGAATTTAGCCAGAAGGGAAGCTCCAGTAAAGCTGTGGACTGTAAAGATAGAGCAGAGGGGATCTTGATTGTTGAGAAGGAACAGAAGAATAGAAAAGATGGCCTGGGCTGGGGATTTAGCTCAGTGGTTCTTCTGCCTGGCTCATAAGCGCAAGGACCTGAGTTGGATCCCTGTACCAAAAAAAAAGAAAAGAAAAGAAAAGATGGCTTGAGGGTATTACAAGAAGCAGGACTCCACCCTTTGCAGCCTTAAAATTGCAAAAGTGAAAGACTTTGCTTTGGGAAAAAAACACCAGAGCACCATGTTGCGGAATGGCAGGGACCTAAACAATGTGTTCCTGGGGATTGGGTTCAGAATGCTCATCAATCCAGGCACTCATCCCCTACCACCAAGAAAGAAGGAAGCCTGGCTACTGCTCCAGCTGGCAGCAAACCTGGGCATTAACCACATGGTGCTGGTTTTAGGTGCAGGCAGAATGGAAAAGGTGTGGGGACAGGAAGGCTTCCGCCAGATTTCAGAAGAAGGCCTAGGAGCCCGGGCAGTGTGTCCCTGAGAGGGCAGCGTGCGAACCTGTGACTGTGAAGCCAAAGGTGCAGTGGAGACCCCAAAAGTTTGGAGAAGCCAGGAGCGTGGATCACCTGAGGAAAATTGCTAGGAGGGAGCAGAACTGGCCCAAGAGAAGCTTTGGGAGCTACAACCTTCTGCAGAGCCATAGGGGCGGAGCCGCCCAAGCCCTTTGGAGTTCATTTCTTGCCACAGATTATGGAGGATGCTGGAAGTGGAACTGTGGGATTTAATGTTTGCCCTGCTGAATTTTGGATTTGCTTTGGTCTCATTCCTTTGTATCCCTCTGTTGGTAACTTTTGGAATGGAAATGTCTATCTTGTGCCATTGAGCGTTGGAAGTGTTTAACTTTCTTTTCATTTGCACAGGGGCTCGCAGCTAAGAGTTTGCCTCAAATGTCAGAGGAGACTTTGGACTTGGACTTTTCTGCAATGTTGAGACTGTTAGGACTTTGGCAACTCTTGGAGCTGGACTTAATCCTTTTTTGCATGAGTCTTTGGGGGGCCAGGGGAGAAATGTTATGGCTTGTGTTTAGATGCCCTCACAAAGCCTCCTGTTTTTTCAGAGGTGGCTGAATCTACAGTATGTGATTAATTCATTTTTAGGGCTAGGCCTGAGGGTACTAGGTTTAAGGGTGTGAGTTCTACCCACCTAAGCGATCTGAATAAGATAAAAGGGGCAAAAAGAAAAAAAAAAACTAAAAATAAACACACACACACACAAACGCATATATATATATGTATATATATATGTATATATATATTTATATCCATATATATGGATTATTTGTTACTTCTAACTTAATTTGGGTGTTAAGATTTATCTTTTTTTTGTATTAAATTCTTTTATTGGTACATTGTAGGTATACAACACAATTACATTTCTCATTGGGAATTGTGCCTTTACATAATGAATC